GTAATCCCAGCATTTTGAGGCAGGACGACTGCTTGAGTTCGGGAGTTCAAGACCAGCCTGAGCATCATGGTGAGACTCAATTTCTATGAAAATACATAAAAATAAATAATGGTGGCACGTAAAAAAAAAAAAAAAAAGTGGTGGCATGTGCCTGTAGGCCTAGCTACTTGGAAGTCTGAGGCAGGAGGATCCCTTGAGCCCAGGATAGTGGCATGTACCTGTAGTCCCAGCAGCTTGGAAGGCTGAAGTAGGAGGATTGCTTGAGGCCAGGATTTTAAGGTTACAGTGAAATATGATCAGGCCACTGCACTCTAGCCTGGGTGGCAGAATGAGGCTCTGTTTCAAAAAAAGAAAAAAAAATCCATTGGTATATGAAAAAAATCAAGATGCAGAATAGTGTATAAAAGAAAGCTAAACTTTGTGTTAAGAAGAGGGATAACATTACTTACGTATGCATTTGGTTATTTTATATAAAATATCTCTGGAAGGATGGGGTGAGGGACTGGACGGACTACAAGGCTGGGAATAGGGGTGGGAGGGAGAATTTTTAAGTTTGACCTTTTGTATTTTTTGAATCTTGATGTATGTATTGAGTATTACTTACTTAAAAACAAATAATGAGGCCAACTAATATATATATAAAATTAGCCAGGCATAGTGGCGCATGCCTGTAGTCCCAGCTACTCAGGAAGCTGAGGCAGAAGGATTGCTTGAGCCCAGGAGTTTGAGGTTGCTGTGAGCTAGGCTGACGCCATGGCACTCACTCTAGCCTGGGCAACAAGCGAGACTCTGTCTCAAAACAAAAACAAAACCAAAAAAACCCCCAAAAAACAAATAATGAAAATGAAAACAAAACACAATGGCAGGCTGGGAGTGGTGGCTCATGCCTGTAATCCTAGCACTCTGGGAGGCTGAGGCGGACGGATTGCTCGAGGTCAGGAGTTCGAAACCAGCCTGAGCGAGACCCCGTCTCTACTAAAAAGAGAAAGAAATTAATTGACCAACTAAAAATATATATACAAAAAATTAGCCAGGCATGGTGGCACATGCCTGTAGTTCCAGCTACTCGGGAGGCTGAGGCAGGAGGATCGCTTGAGCCCAGGAGATTGTGGTTGCTGTGAGCTAGGCTGACGTCACGGCACTCACTCTAGCCTGGGAAACAAAGTGAGACTCTGTCTCAGAAAACAACAACAACAACAACAAAAACCCCACAATGACAAAAATTAAAGACATGCTATAGCAAAAATAAAAGTAATATATACACAAAGTCCAAACATTCAAACCGTATAGATAAGTATAAAATTAAAAGAAAAACATTCCCTCCTCTATATTCTATGCAGTTAAAAGGATGTTGTATTCTATGCAGCATTTCTAGGTGTTTTGTAGCAGGTGTGAGACAAAATATTAGCAGCAAGTGGTCCTGTGGTCCCAGCTATTACATAAGAAGCCATGTTTGCTCTTTTCTGCTTGCCAGCATACTTACACAGAGGCCCTGACTCTGTGATGACATGCAGCTCTCTGGAAGGATGCTTTGAAGACAAAACAGGATAGAGCACGCTATGTCTCTTACCTCAGTCACTACATTCCTTAAAAGATAAATGACCCTAGTCCTTGCCTTTTCCCACACATAAGATAACATCTGACACAGTAATGCCTCTGTAATCTATAACCAGATGTACTCTCACATCCAAACTTTGATGTGATCCTGCTTTAATGTAACTTCTGAGCAAGTCTGGTGTGATTTTGCCTGTAGTAAGCCTCCACTCCCTGTATGTAAACTGTCAGCTGAAACATTGCTTTGGAGCAGTCTGGTAGACCCTCTCTGAAAGACTCCCTTCCTGCCGTGGGGGCTGTAGTCCTCAGTTTACTGTAATTCTTTAGAAACTCAATATTTTTCTTTAGTTGACACAGGGGAATATTTGGATTTTTTTTAGTTCTCCTCATTGGAAATGAAAGTGTTCTTTCTCAACCTTTTCAGTATTAATGAATTCCTTTTATCATCTTACTATCCCCTCTTCACTTCTATGGACTACTATTTTGAAACCAATATCCAGTGTACAGCCAGCATTTGTTACATAATAATTAATCTGGGCCGGGTGACATCTTGTTCTATTAGGTTGGTAACTGTCTGATCCACCAATCACACTGCTGTCTTTATCAGTCAATGAAGTTTCAAGAAACAACTGTACATTTAGTAAGAGCCTCTTCAGTGTCCTGCCTTGTGCTAGGCCCTAGGGATAGATAGGACAATGTCCTTTTATCCCTTCCTTGATCAGCTGGAGATTTTACTTTTTGTTTGTTTTAATTAATTAATTTTTTTTTTTTTTTGAGACAGAGTCTCACTTTTGTTGCCCAGGCTAGAGTGAGTGCCGTGCGTCAGCCTGGCTCACAGCAACCTCATCCTCCAGGCTCAGCGATCCTACTGCCTCAGCCTCCGAGTAGCTGGGACTACAGGCATGCGCCACCATGCCTGGCTAATTTTTTCTATATATATATATTAGTTGACCAATTAATTTCTTTCTATTTATGGTAGAGACAGGGTCTCGGTCTTGCTCGGGCTGGTTTCGAACTCTTGACCTCGAGCAATCCGCCCGTCTCGGCCTCCCAGAGTGTTAGGATTACAGGCGTGAGCCACTGTGCCCGGCCACTTTTTGTTTGTTTTTAAGAGATAGGGCCACACTCTGTCGCCCAGGCTGGAGTGCAGCCCCAGCCTCCTGAGTACCTGGGACTACAGGTGCATGCCACAAGTTTGGCTAATTTTAAAATTTTTTTGTAGAGATTGGGTCTAGCTATGTTGCCCAGGCTGGTCTCAAACTCCTGGCCTCAAGCAATCCTCCTGCCTTGGCCTCCTAAAGGCATAAGCCACTGTGCCTAGCATTTCTTTGTTTGTTTGTTTCTTTGTTTGTTTTTAAGACAGAGTCTCAGTATGTTGCCCAGACTGGAATGCAGTTGTTATTCAGAGGCTCATAGACCACTACAGCCTGGAAGTGATCCTCTAGCTTCGGACTCCTGAGTAGCTGGGACTACAGGCACATGTCACTGTGACTGGCAGATTTTAATAAATTGATCTAGTCTTAGCCCAGTAGTTCTCTACCTAGCACAGTGGAGGCTCCTTGCAATTTCCTGAGAGAACCTTTTCTAAATATTGATGCCTAGTCTCCACCACTCAGAGACTCTGATCACCAGCTTTTAGGGCTGGAAGGGGCCTCAGAAGTGTTAAACACACACAGAGTCTATTCTTGTTTTTCATGGTAGTTATGTTCTATAAAGCCACTGTGAGCACTGAATTAGCAGATGAATACCAAACATTGCTCCTAGGGAAAATACAGAGTTAGGTTTCTATGAGCCTCTGATCACATTTTTGTCAACCAATCAATACAAACCTTATTTTATGTGTAAAACAATTACTTATTATATATTGCTGATTTATTAACATTGAATGCAAGGCCAATAGCACCATAACTCATGCCTAAACTAAGTGTATCCAACACATGCATTTCCCCATAAGGCACAGCTTTGTTGCACTTAGAAACACTAGATAAACTTCAGTACTACACTTGGGGACAATTTTTTCTTTTTTTTTTTTTTTTGAGACAAGAGTCTTGCTCTGTCACCCTGGGTAGAGTGTAGTGTAGTCATCATAACTCACTGCAACCTCAAACTCCTTGGCTAAAGTGATCCTCCTGCCTCAGCCTCCCAAGTGGCTGGGACTACAGGCATATGCCACCATGCCAGGCTAATTTTTCTGTTTTTAGTAGAGACAGGTCTCGCTCTTGCTCAGGCTGTTTTCCAGCTCCTGACCTCGGTGATCCTCTCACCTAGGCTAGGATTATCGGCCTAGCGGGATGCCCTGCCAGCCTACCACACTGACTCTTACTAGTTACTCGTGACTACCAGGAGTAACAGTATGCAGAACAATTCCAGCACGACACTCCTAAGAATTTCCTCAGGATACCCTCTTGTGAGTCCGGTTTCTGGGCCAAGCCTTCCTCTTCATGTCAGGTCCCACTCTGGTCTACTCATTCTCAACGTAAAGAACGTAAACACATGGCTCACGCCTGTAATCCTAGCACTCTGGGAGGCCGAGGCGGGCGGATTGCTCAAGGTCAGGAGTTCGAAACCACCCTGAGCAAGAGCGAGACCCTGTCTCTACTATAAATAGAAAGAAATTAATTGGCCAACTAATATATATAGAAAAAATTAGCCAGGCATGGTGGCGCATGCTCGGGAGGCTGAGGCAGTAGGATTGCTTGAGCCCAGGAGTTTGAGGTTGCTGTGAGCTAGGCTGATGCCATGGCACTCACTCTAGCCTGGGCAATAAAGCGAGACTCTGTCTCAAAAAAAAAAAAAAAGAACATAAACACAGGTTCAGAGATGGGGACTGGTGGCTACTACCGTGTTTCCCCGAGAAAATAAGACAGGGTCTTATATTTGTTTTTCCTCAAGAAGACACCCTAGGGCTTATTTTCAGGGGATGTGTTATTTTCCCCTCAAAGCCTCAGCTTGCAGAACGCACAGGATGGCTGGGACCTGACGGGGGGAGCCAACCTTGTTGGTGGGGCTGCCCGCACCTTTCCGGTCACCTCTGGTATAGTAGCTGTCACAGATGGGGCAGATGAGAAGGACTGCTCGTCTTCTTTACTACTCCCAGACCAAATGCATGGGTTGTGCAGATACACTGCGTGGCCATGCCCATCACTAGGCCTTATTTTCCGGGTAGGGCTTATATTGTGCAAATGCTTAGAAATCCTGCTAGGGCTTATTTTATGGGTAGGTCTTATTTTCGGAAAAACACGGGAAGTTATAAAGATTTTTTTCAACGCCTTAGGGGCACTCAGCCCTCTGCCCACCTGCGAGAGCCCTGGCCTAGGACCCTGTGCAGCCTAGGGCTGGAAAACTACCCCGCCCAAGAGTCGCAGGCCGCGCAGGCGCAGGAGCCCATGGCGGGCGGCTGGGCGCCGTTTCTGGTCCCCCGCCTGCCCCTGCCCGCCTCCGCCACCTCCAGCCCCGCCTCCCGCCGGCCGAGCTCCGGGCCGCCGGGCCTCAGTTCTCGGCTATAGTCCGCTGCGCTCGCCAGTACCGGGCACTGACAGAACCATGTCTGCCTCCTTGCAGAGGTTTCCGCCCTTGCGCCGGGTTTTCGTGGTGGGGGTTGGCATGACCAAGGTAAACAGAGCAGTATACCCGTGGAGGCGGGCTCCCTGTCCCGGTCTGCCTCTGTGAGGCGGGGGGACCTCTAGGTGACAGGAAACCCAGGCGGGCAGTGCCTGCGCTGTTCCTGTCTGTCCTTCCTGCCCGGAGGGCGCCGGCTCCGGCTCCGGCTGCTAGGCGCGTGGGGCATCCGGGTGAAGACTCCGGGCGGGGCGGGGGTTGCGATCTGCGGTGTCTCTGGGGGTTGTAGTGTCTCAGGCTTGCTCCTGCGGCCATTTTTTCCTTCTTCCCTTTTCTCCCTGGTCAGTTTGTGAAGCAAGGATACCCAAGGGTCTCGCCTCTTTAGATTCTGGGTGAAGTCCGAAGGCATATGGAGCTTGCCCTGAGGCAAGAACCAGCTCGCATTAGAAAGGAAGCAGGGTCGTGAATGTCACTAGTTATGCCCTCCCAGGAATACTTCCAATAGGAGCCTTTCTTAGAGACAGCTGCAGGTGTGGATCGGGAGGAGAGACACCAGTGATGCTCAGCGTCTTGGCACAAGTGGCAGGTTTCCTGGATCCTTTGACCTCCTTTCTGTTCCTCAAGTGCCAGGTTGGAACTCTGGAGGCCAGAGGCTTCTACAGTCTTCTTCCTTCCTCTTCTTTCATCCCTCAGGGTCTTGCTGTGCTGCCCATGTTGAAGTGCAGTGGCACGATCAGCCTTCCAAGTAGTTAGGACTATAGGCAGGCACCATCGCACTTGGTTAATTTATTTCGTTTTTGTAGAGATGGGGGTCTCCCTATGTTGCCCAGGCTTGTCTCCAACTCTTGGACTCAAGCATGATCTTCCCGCCTGGGCTTCCCAAAGTGCTGGAATTACAGGCGCGAGACACCATGCTGGGCCAGGCTTTTTTTCTTGACACCCTTACCACCTCCATGCTCTAGTAATGCCAAATTGCCCTTAGTTTCTCCCCTTACTCTATAGTTTCATGCCTGTGTTGCTTTGCTTCTGTTGTTTTTACTACTTGTACCATTTATCTTCTCAGCTGGTTAACTTCTTTTGTGTTATTAAAGAATCAGTTCCTAGGCCAGGCGTGGTGGCTCACGCCTGTAATCCTAGCACTTTGGGAGGCCGAGGCGGGCGGATTGCTCAAGGTCAGGAGTTTGAAACCAGCCTGAGCGAGACCCCGTCTCTACCAAAAATAGAAAGAAATTAATTGACCAACTAAAAATATATATAAAAAATTAGCCGGGCATGGTGGCGCATGCTTGTAGTCCCAGCTTGAGCCCAGGAAATTGAGGTTGCTGTGAGCTAGGCTGACGCCATGGCACTCACTCTAGCCTGGACAACAAAGCGAGACTGTGTCTCAAAAAAAAAAAAAAAAAAAAGAATCAGTTCCTGCCTGTCGTATCTTCTGCAGGAAGCTTTTGGTCCTCCTGACTTTCCAGTATAGCTTTGTATTGCATTTAACCTCTATCTTAATACTTACTATGTTATGCAGTACTGAGATTCTGTTTATATGTCTGTATTTTCCTCAAGCATGTAAGCTCTTCCAGGGTGGGCACCACATCTTATTCATGGCTATATTCCTGTCACCCTGAAAGTGCCTGGTCTCTGAAGACCCTCAATGAATGTTAGTTGAACAATATTAAATAGATATGCTCTGTGAAAGAATTCCTAGCAAGAGTTCTATTTGTGAGAAAGCAGCCCTAAAATTTTTATTATTTTACCAATAGGCTGAGAGTACACAATTCAGTCAAAACATGTAGATAGAAAAGTCCACTGATGCCTTATAAACCAGAAGCTTGGAGATCATCCTGTTGTTTCCTGGAAGAGGGGGCTTATAATACAGGCAGAGAGTAAGACTTTTAAAGTATGGTATTAATGCAGTCAGATCTTCTGTTGGCTGTTGAATGTCTGATTATTATGTGGGCTGTATGGAAAAGCACAGTTTTATAACCCTTTGGGAAGTAGAAGATGTGTTTCTTTTTCCTCAAGTTGGGAGGTAAAGGTGGGGGACGTGTTAAAGTCCTAAAGGAAAACGTAGTGAGTATGGAGAGTGCCATTATTGATGTGCTTATTAGGCCAGAATACCTCCCTTTGGGTCTGGTCTGCTGGACCTTGAGTCAGGATTTGATGAAGGAGAAATCTACTAGGTAATTAATATTGTCAAGTGTTTTTTTTTGTTTTTTTTTTTAGATTTTTTTATTTTTCTACTTTTGAAGGAACTTTAAAGTTCTGTTAATAGAACTGGTTGGGCTCTTTTGTTATGTTTTTTTTTTTTTTGAGACAGAGTCTCATTTTGTTGCCCAGGCTAGAGTGAGTGCCATGGCGTCAGCCTAGCTCACAGCAACCTCAAACTCCTGGGCTCAAGCAATCCTACTGCCTCAGCCTCCCCAGTCAGTAGCTGGGACTACAGGTATGGGGCACCATGCCCGGCTAATTTTTTCTATATATTAGTTGACCAATTAATTTCTTTCTATTTATAGTAGAGATGGGGTCTCGCTTTTGCTCAGGCTGGTTTGAAACTCTTGACTTTGAGCAATCTGCCCGCCTCGGCCTCCCAGAGAGCTAGGATTACAGGCATGAGCCACCGCGCCCAGCCTGTTTCTTAATTTAAATAGCTGAATTTTCTAGACGATTTGAAGTTTTCTTAATGAAGTTTTATTATTCAATGTAGGAAATGAGTTAGAATTCCCACGGTGGGTGTCAACATTTTTTAGCACAACAACTAAGTCACAACTGCCATCTACCTGACAACAGGCCACACCCTTTGCTTATGCTGCCTATCCTGATATACCCTCTTTCATCTACTTACATTCCACCTGTCTTTCAAGGACTAGTCCAAGTCCCATGTCTCTTTAAAAATTCCTCAGGCTCTGTGCGGTGGCTCATTCCTGAAATCTATGCACTCTGGGAGGCTGAGGGGGTAGGAACTCTTGAGGTCAGGAGTTTGAGACTACCCTGAGCAAGAGCGAGACCCTGTCTATACCAAAAATAGAAAATATTAGCCTGGCATTGTGGCATGTAACTGTACTCCCAGCTACTCAGGAGGCTGAGGCAGGAGGATCTCTTGAGCCTTAGAGTGTGAGGTTGCAATGAGATATGATGATGCCACTGTACTCCAGCTGGAATTACAGAGTGAGACTTAGTCACCTTCTTTTGAAATTCTGGGGTCCTTGTAGTCAGGACATAAAGTTTAGCACCTAATTTTTGAGTGCTTTTATCTATAGTAATTCCACAACCTAAAGAAAGAAATACAGCTTACATCACGTCAACAGAAAAGAAGCCAAACTCTGTAAAATAATTGTAAGAGGTTTATTTTGAGTCAAATTTGAGGACCTTGACCTGGAGCAATGCCCAAGAAGCCTTCAGCAAGTGTACTCGCTGTGGTTGGGTTACAGTTTGGTTTTATACATTTCAGGGAGACAGGGGTTACAGGTAAAGTCATCAATCAATACATGGAAGCCATCATTGATTTGGCCATCTGGAGGGGGGCTTACAGGTTGTAGGTGGGTTTAAAGACTCTTTGACTTGTAATTGGTTAAAGACAGTTGAAGCTTTTGTCTAAAGGCTTTGAATGTTTTTTTTTTGTTTGTTTGTTTTTGAGACAGAGTCTCACTTTGTTGCCCAGGCTAGAGTGAGTTCCATGGCGTCAGCCTAGCTCACAGCAACCTCAAACTCCAGGGCTCAGCGATCCTCCTGCCTCAGCCTCCCGAGTAGCTGGGACTATAGGCATGCGCCACCATGCCCGGCTAATTTTTTGTATATATATTTTTAGTTGGTCAGTTAATTTATTTCTATTTTTGGTAGAGAGGGGGTCTCGCTCAGGCTGGTTTCGAACTCCTGACCTTGAGCAATCCGCCCGCCTCGGCCTCCCAAAGTGCTAGGATTACAGGCGTGAGCCACCACGCCTGGCAGCTTTGAATGTTTTAAGATAAGGATCTCTGTTAATCAGAGACAAGCTACTATCTATATTTGTTGAGTAAATTGAGGACCTGATGTTTGTCTTGCATAACCTTTATCTTGTATAACTTTAGGCCTGCCAATGAGTTACAAAGGTTATCTGCAAGAGGGGAGGGGGCTTGATGAGGCATGTCTGAACTATCTCCTAATGGCAGACAATTTTATTTTAGGATATCCCCTTAGCCAGGAGGGGGTCCAATCAGTCAGCCGGTGGGGGGAAGCCTTAAGATTTTACTTTATGTGTCTTTTAAGAAATGCTAGGTTGGCCGGGCGCGGTGGCTCACGCCTGTAATCCTAGCACTCTGGGAGGCCGAGGCGGGCGGATTGCTCGAGTTCAGGAGTTCGAAACCAGCCTGAGCAAGAGCGAGACCCGTCTCTACTATAAATAGAAAGAAATTAATTGGCCAACTAATATATATATACAAAAAAATTAGCCGGGCATGGTGGCACATGCCTGTAGTCCCAGCTACTCGGGAGGCTGAGGCAGAAGGATTGCTTGAGCCCAGGAGTTTGAGGTTGCTGTGAGCTAGGCTGACGCCACGGCACTCACTCTAGCCTGGGCAACAAAGTGAGACTCTGTCTCAAAAATATTAAATAAATAAAAAATTAAGAATTAATTAAAACTATCCAATATCTAGTTAATTAAAACGATCCAATATCTAATAAGTTCCAGAAAAAGAACGCAGGCTGAGCGCAGTGGCTCTTGCTTGTAATCCTAGCACTCTGGGAGGTGGAGGTGGGAGGATCACTTGGGTCAGGAGGCCAGCCTGACCAAGAGTGAAACCTTGTCTCTACAGAAATGGAAAAATTAGCCAGGCGTGGTGGCGCATGCCTGTAGTCCCAGCTACTCTCATCCCAGCTAGCTGGTAGGCTAAGGCAGGAGGATTGCTGGAGTCTAGGAGTTTGAGGTTGCAGTGAGCTATGATTGAGTCACTACACTTTAAGGTGGGCAACAGAGTGAGACCCTGTCTTTAAAAAAAAAATAACTGATAATAACTGAAAAATGATAGAATATCACCATTTCTCAGCTGCCAATGAATTAATAGCTTTAGCAGGAGTTCTCAAAATGTGATCTGTGGACTCCTGGGTTCTCTGAGACCCTTTCAGGGGATCTGCAAGGTTAAGACTATTCATAATAATACTAAGATATTTACCATTTTCATTGTCTATTGACATTTACACTGATGGTGCAAAAGTGATGGTGGATAGCAATGGTGGTACTAGTAGTCATTTGTATTCTTTGTGTACTCATGTACTCATAGGAATAAAAAAGCACCTGTTTTCACTTAAGACCATCCTTGATGAAGCACAAAACAATTGTTAATTTTATTAAATCTCAACGCTTGAGAATTCACTTGTGAGATTATTTGAATTATGAGCTAAACCAGCTGCTTTTTTCATGAAACACCAATTTTACTTGAGAGAACATCTGGCATACATATGATAGTTATTCAGACATGGGTGTGTTTTGTTTTTTTTTTGAGATAGAGTCTCACTTTGTTTCCCAGGCTAGAGTGAGTGCCTGTGACGTCAGCCTAGCTCACAGCAACCTCAAACTCTTGGGCTCAAGCAATCCTCCCGCCTCAGCCTCCTGAGTAGCTGGGACTACAGGCATGTGCCACCATGCCCGGCTAATTTTTTCTATATATATTAGTTGGCCAATTGATTTCTTTCTATTTATAGTAGAGACGGGGTCTCACTCTTGCTCAGGCTGGTTTTGAACTCCTGACCTCAAGCAATCCGCCTGCTTCGGCCTCCCAGAGTGCTAGGATTACAGGCATGAGCCACTGTGCCCGGCCAACATGGGTGTGTTTTAAATATTTTCTCAAAAATGAATGAAATAAGCCTATCACTTCTTATTTCCAGTGATAAAATTTGAGCTTTTAAGTGAAAATTAGAATTTTAGAAAACTTATATCCACTTGAGAACATCATATTACTTTAAAATTTTTTCTTGTAAGATGGGTGACAATATTAAAAAAGGTAAGGTTTTGGAATTTAAAAAATAGACAAGATTAAACTGTAATGTCTTTGGATGCACATCTGGGTGATAAAATATGAAATAAATGTTCCAAGAAAGTGATTACCGTAGGAATAGGATAGTAATTACTTTGGGGGTAAGGTAGGGCTTGAGATTGGAACAGAGTGTATGGACGAGTTTCTGGTATGATGGGCAAAGTTGTATTTCTTGTTCTGGGTAGTGGTTGTAAGGATGTTTGCCTTAAAACAGTTGATTAGAATATGTATTTAATTCCAGAAAAAAAAAACCTAAAATGGTACAATAAAGGAAATGTAATCATAATTAGACTACTTGGCCCAGTAGTAAAAAAAGATGTAGTTAATAAGAGAAACACAGTACTGAATTAGCAACAAATTGTGACTTAGCTATACATGATGGGTGGGAGAGGTAAATGCATATGTGGGGTGGCAGAAGAGACTTAATCCTCATTGGAGATTATGATATAACTTCTTAGCTGATAAAGAAATAATTTTATAAGAATATTCATGCAGCTGAATTCAAAGGATAATTAAAAAAAGAAAAGTTATTTAAAATTAAGTAAAGTAAAAAGAAAAGAAAATATATTTTATTTTACAAAAAAAAAAAAAGAATATTTAGAAACATGGTGGCAGTTTATGTCAGAAGAAATACCTATAAGAATTGAAAGTGGATATTTTGGGAGCAAGTATGACCAGTGGGTGGGGAGTAGTGAAATAGAAGATTGCTGTTTTTATTGTGTGGCTTGTGGTACTTTTTTGTCCTTTTTTTCTTTCATTTCTTTGATTAAAAAATAAAATAATTCTGGGAGGCCCAAACATGAGGATCATTTGAGCTCAGAAGTTTGAGACCAGCTTAGGTAACACAGCGAGACTCAGTTTCTACAAAAAAATTAAAAATAAAAAAATTAGCTGGGTGTGGTGGTACGTAGCAGTAGACCCAGTACTTGAGAGGCTGAGGCAGGAGGATTGCTTGAGCCCAGGAGTTTGAGGTTGCTGTGAGCTGTGATGATGCCCTGCAGTCTAACCTGGGCAACACAGTGAGACTGTATGTAAAAATTTAATTAATTAAAAAACAAATATTAGTAGTACATTACCAGCACCTCAGCAGTTGTGCCGTCTTCCGGGCACTGTAACCTGTAAAAGGTCAGCATTTTCCTGACTTCCTGACCTTTAATACCATGGATTAGTTCTGGCCTTTCTGTTCAACATTATATTTGTAAAATTCAGTCATAATTTTATTTGTAGTTATAGTTTATTCATTCTCATTAATGTAAAAGGTGCTCAGTGTGTTTTTTGTTTGAATGAAGAGGTTTATTTTGTAAAGAAAATCTAACTATACTTGTTTCTATTTATTATTTCTATATTTCTAGTTCATGAAGCCTGGTGCTGAGAATTCAAGAGACTACCCTGACTTGGCAAAAGAAGCAGGTAATACAGAACATTCATATCTTTGAACAGTCATATTCTATTGTGTGGTCTATATTGATTCCATGGGTGGAGCAAACTTGAAAGCACTAAAGGAAGCCCAGTCAAGGGAGAAGAACCTGTGTGGAGAATTGCCCAGTGGCTCACTAGAAAAGAGCCTGGGCATTCTTAGCAGCTACATAGCCAGAAGTAGACAGTGGCTTGTGATTTTATGTGCCATCCATCTGTTTGTTGGGATGGTTAAGGGTTGTGTGGGAGAGAAAGGTATGGTTATTAAAAGGGATAATTTCATTTTCGTGTGTGTTCACCTTAGGAGATATAAAAAAATTATCTTCTTTTCCGGGAAGAGGGATAATCACATTTAAAATATATTGAATACGTGTATGGTAGTTTTCCTCTCTTCACTTTATTAGCCAACATAGAGAATTCTTTTTCTATCACTAGGCTGCTGTGTGACTAAATGAGGCGATGCAGTTTGTTATTGTTTACTCTAGTAAGTGTTAGAAATGTTAAGCTAAGGACTTCGGTGAATACTACTGAGTGGAACTCAAGAAGGATCCACCAGGTGTATGGGTCCATGTTCTTTCTCTAAGCATTCAGCATTCTTCAGAGACACACACCTGGGCCAGGCTGCAGGTGACTGAACTGTGGGTCCAAGTTCCAGCAGACAAGTCCCCTTTTATCATTTTCTTTCTCTCTCTCTTTCTTCTCATTCTCTTTTTTTAAAAGAGGACAAGGCCGGGTGCGGTGGCTCACGCCTGTAATCCTAGCACTCTGGGAGGCTGAGGCGGGCGGATTGCTCGAGTTCGAAACCAACCTGAGCAAGAGGGAGACCCCGTCTCTACTATAAATAGAAATAAATTAATTGGCCAGCTAATATATAGAGAAAAAATTAGCCGGGCATGGTGGCGCATGCCTGTAGTCCCAGCTACTTGGGAGGCTGAGGCAGCAGGATTGCTTGAGCCCAGGAGTTTAGATCACTTGAACTCAGGAGTTTGAGGTTGCTATGAGCTAGGCTGATGCCACGGCACTCACTCTAGCCTGGGCAACAAAGCGAGACTCTGTCAAAAAAAAAAAAAAAAAAAAAAAGAGGACAAGCATGAAAGCTTCTTTACATGGTATGCATAAACAAACAAACAAATAAATGTTTTAGATTCAAGTCCAGGTAGTCTAAGATTAGGTGCCAGTTGTTTCAGGGAATTCTTTGAAATACCTGCTTCCTAGCACTTAGAGACCTTGGGATCCTTGGTTCCTTGAGAAGTTGTTAGGCATAGTCCCTTTCTGAGGGAGCCTCCCTGACCCATTCCTGCTAGCTTGTTACCAGGCAGCCCAAAAAAGTTAACTGTGGTTTTTCCCTATATAATCCTGTACTTATCTCCAAAAGTACCCTGTGCATCTAGTATATGTATATTTAGATTTTACTTCAACACTTATTGTTTTGTTTTGAGACAGGGTCTTGTTCTGTTGCCCTGGCTAGAGTGCAGTGGTGTCATCATAGCTCACTGCAACCTTAAACTCCTGGGCTCAAGCAATCCTCTTGCCTCAACCTCCCAAGTAGCTGGGACTATAGGCGTGCGCCTCCATGCTCTGCTAATTTTTTTATTTTTGGTAGAGGCAGGGTCTTGCTCTTGCTCAGGCTGGTCTTGAAATCCTGACCTAGCGATCCTCCCTCCTCGGTCTCCCAAAGTGCTAGGATTACAGATGTGAGCCACTGCACCTAGCCAGATTTTGCTTCAACCCTTATTATTCAACTCAATATTTAAATATCATTATATGAGGAATCAGAGCATCTCTTCCCCCCTTGAGGGGGGAAGAAGGCCGGGTGCGGTGGCCCTAATCAAATCAAGAAATTTGATTAATTGCTATTGGTTCTTAGGGTAGACACTATTCATTTAATGTTTTTTAAAATTATGACCCAAAGATTCACATTTAATGTTTATCTTCTGTGGTGATAAACATGCTGCTCTTGACTGATGTGTCCAAACAGCAACTCCCTTTCTCTGAAGTGGGAGATGCTTTGGTTTTCTAAATATTTTTTGTCCCATTTCTTTTATTTCATTAAAAATTTGGGGAGGTTTCTTTAGTGTGTGTATATTTTGATTATAAAATGGTAATATTGAGGTGAAGTTATGAAGTTTGAAACGAACTATGGGGATTAACTAGTAACAAGATATCCAGTTTAATTTACTCAGCTTATTTTGATTTTGCAAGCAACATTAGGAAAATAAACACCTTTTAATACATGAACTTTTTTTTTTAATTTTATTTTTTTTTTCTTTTTATACAACATATCCAGGTAATTACATGAACTTTATTTCTTTATTTTTTTTTAGAGACAGGATCTTGCTCTGTTGCTCAGGCTGAAGTGCAGCGGCATAATCATAGCTCATTACAACCTCAAACTCCTGGGCTCAGGCCATCCTCCTGCCTCAGCCTCCTCAGTAGCTAGGACTACAGGCATGTGCCACCATGCCTGGCTAATTTTTTTTTTTTTTTTTGGAGACAGAGTCTCACTTTAGTTGCCCTGGCTAGAGTGAGTACCGTGGCGTCAGCCTAGCTCACAGCAACCTCAAACTTGTGGGCTCAAGCCATCCTCCTGTCTCAGCCTCCCAAGTAGCTGGGACTACAGGCATGTACTACCATGCCCGGCTAATTTTTTGCATATATATTTTTAGTTGGTCAATTAATTTCTTTCTATTTTTAGTAGAGACGGGGTCTTGCTCAGGCTGGTTTCGAACTCTCGACCTCGAGCAATCTGCCCGCCTCGGCCTCCCAGAGTGCTAGGATTACAGGCGTGAGCCACCACGCCCGGCCTAATTTTTAAATTTTTTGTAGAGATAGGGGTCTTGCTATGTTGTCCAGGCTGGTCTTGAACTCCTGACCTCCTGAGAGCCTCCCATCTCAGCCTCCAAAAGTGCTGGGATTACAGATGTGAGCTGCCATGCCTGGCCAAACTTAAAACTTTTAAAACTTACATTTTCTCTTAAAAATACTCCTTGGTTCTAATTATGTAAGGAAATGAGAAGTATAAAAGGATGACTTCACTAATGTATTTCACCTAAAGTACCTTAAGGCTACATCAGTCACATTTAGTCGAACATTTATTCAAGTACATCTTGAGGGTAAAATCCCCTGAGATTCTGAAAATGATTTTGCACTCTGTTCTCTCTGGACTCATTTATTGAGTCCAGTGGCGGTGAGGCAGAGGATTGGTTTTTTGGAAGAGTAGATCCACAAGTCTTACTCTCTACTTCTGCAGACTTGTTATATGAGGGGGTTCTGCTACCATTTTCTTTCCTGTTATTTCCTAAATGCATAGAATAGAGGGAAGCACAACAAGCAGAATTTCATCTTGTCACTTCTATTATTTAGGGACTTCTACTCTTTATACATTCCTCCATCTTCCTTTCCTTCAGAGAAAGGTTGGGGATCCCTTTACACCTAAATGCAGATGACACTCATTTGAATGATATAGCAACACCATGGAACTCTTTGCAACTATTTCAGATAGGTAATTTCTATGCTTCCTTTGTTTTCTTACCCTTTTAACATTTTTATTTAATAATTATTTTAATCTGACAGTTTATGCAGAAAATCTGATGTTAGCAGAAAATGTTCAATAAATAATGAGTATATCCTGGACACTGGGAAGGATTCAGAATGGTATGGTGTACTAATCTCAAGGTTCTTACTATCTAGAAGGGAAAATAAGGAAAATTCAGATAGAAAGTGAGTGGACTGTGAAAGGTAGAACATGCTGTTGTCATTTAAAGGAGACACAGAGTACTGGCTAAAAATTATATCTTTTTGTAAGTCACTCTTTCCCACTGATTATAGGAGCAGTGCATATGTTTTGTTGGAACGAAGAATTATAACAAAAAGAAAATTTTGTGACCCAGACCTAGTCATTGTCAACATTTTAGTGATATTCTATGTTGGTACTTTTTCCTATGGCTATATGGGATCATATTCTATAAGTAGAATATGTATCCTATCTATGTATAGGATATATGTATCCTATCGTATCTATTTGTATCCTAATTTTTTTTTAGAGACCGGGTCTTGCTATGTTGCTCAGGCTGGAGTGCAGTGACTATTCACAGGTGTGGTCATATTGCATTATAACCTTGAACTCTTGGGCTCAAGTGATTCTCCTGCCTCAGCCTCCTGAGTAGCTGGGACTATAGGCACATGCCACTACAACCAATTTGTATTCTGATTTCTAAAATTTGTTTTATCATGAGCCTTCCCCTTGTTGCTTTTTGTTTGTTTGAGATGGAGTCATACTCTGTTGCCTGGCTAGAGTGCCATGGTGTCAGCTTAGCCCATAGCAACCTCAAATCCCCGGGCTCAAGTGATCCTACTGCCTCAGCCTCCCAAGTAGCTGGGACTACAGTGTTCACCACCATGCCAGGCTAATTTTTCTATATTTAGTAGAGATGGGTTTCCACTCTTGGTTTGGCTGGTCTTAAACTCCTGACCTCAAGCAATCCTCCTGCCTTGGCCTCCCAGAGTGCTAGGATTACAGGCATGAGCCACCGCATCCGGCCTTCCCCTTATTACTTAAAATTGTTTGGAAAAGAGTTTACTTTTTGTATAATATCATATATTTATGCCATTATTTTTGTTGGACATTTAGGTTCCCAACTTTTTGATAATTTAGAAGAATTGTAGTGAACATCTTGCTAAATAAATACTCTCATCTCTAGTTATTTTTTTAGTATAGAACCTAGAAGTTGAATCATTCGGATAGTGAACATTTGTAAGACTCTTACTAAATTATTTTTCAGACTGTTTACAGTCTTAGAGTCTCATTGGCAGTGTAGTGTTAGGACATATATGTTGGTCTTCATCTGGGTTCCTGGCTTATAATTTCCATAGTCCCTGTTACAATGTTGGGGAACTTTAGAAACAGAATCTTTCTCTGACCTTCTTTCACCTGCCCAAGGTAGGACTCTAATCTCATTGTGGGTCAAAAGACCCTCATTCCAGAGAGGGTCCTACTCCATACCCTGGACGAAGGAATGCTGCACAGAGACCAAGAAGAATCTGAACAGACAAGCCTTGCTTGATCTAAAAGGTTTAAATCATACCCTCTTTGTCCAGTCACATTTTGACATGATTGTCCATGCTTTAAACATGGATAACTTATGAAGTCTCCATAAAAGACCCAAAGGACAGGGTTCAGGGAGCTTCTGAACCATGGAGTTTCCTGGAGGACAATGCACTCAGGCAGGGCATGTAAGTTCCATGGCCCCTCCCCCATACCTTACATCTCTTCATCTGTATCCTTTGTAATATCCTTTATAATAAACCAGTAAACGTGTTTCCCTGAGTTCTGTGAGCTGCCCCAACAAATTAATTGAATCCAATGAAGGGGTCATAGGAACTTCAATCTGAAGCCAGCCTGTCAGAAGTTCTGGAGGCCCGCCTTTGTGCATGGTGTCTGAGAGATGGCAGTCTTGTGGGATTGAGCCCTCACCTTGTGGAAGTTGATGCTGTCTCCAGGTAGATAGTGTCAGAATTGAATTAGAGGACACCTAGCTATTATCCACTGCTTGGTGTGTGGAGGAAAATCTCCCACATTTGGTCATGAAAGTCTTCTGTGTTGTTGATTGTCATGGTATAAGAGGAGAGGAAAAACATGCTTTTAGAGTTTTTACCAAATAGGCAACATATGAGAATGCTATTAACATAGTCTCACCAGCATTATTATAAGTAAAACATTATTTTTTGCTGTATATTAAGCAGGAAAAGATAACTTGTCTGACCAAACCAATTGTATAATCAATTATATATTTTCTTAAGTTAAAAAAATTTCAAATATATTCATATGGTTAAGAAAAAAAAAAGAATACAAAATGGCTTATAATTCTCAGGCCCGTTCCCCAGGGATAACCTCTTTTAACTGTTTTTTTGTTTTTCTTTTCTTTTTTTTTTTTGAGACAGAGTCTCACTCTGCTGCCCTGGGCTAGAGTGCTGTGGCATCAGCCTAGCTCACAGCAACCTCAAACTCCTGGGCTCAAGCAATCCTCCTGCCTCAGCCTCCCAAGTAGCTGGGACTACAGGCATGCGCCACCATGCCTGGCTAATTTTTTTCTATATATATTAGCTGGCCAATTAATTTTATTTCTATTTATAGTAGAGACGAGGTCTCGCTCTTGCTCAGGGTGGTTTTGAACTCCTGACCTCAAGCAATCCGCCCGCCTCGGCCTCCCAGAGTGCTAGGATTACAGGCGTGAGCCACCGCGCCCGGCCTTAACTGTTTTTTTTGCTTTAGTTCTTCTGGTGATTATCTAAATGCTTATTCCACCATGATTATTTTATTAATTATTTATTTTAGAGATAAGATTTCACTCTATCACTCAGGCTGGAGTGCAATGGCATGATCATAGCTCACTGCAACCTCTAGCTCCTGGGCTCAATCAATCTTCCTGCATCACCCTCTGAAATAGCTGAGACTACAGGTGTGCACCACCACACCTGGTTAATTTTTCTATTTTTTGTAGAGACAGGTCTTACTCTTGCTCAGGCTTGTCTCAAACCCCTGACCTCAAGTGATCCTCCTACCTCAGCCTTCTATAGTGCTAGGAATTACAGGCATGAGCCGCCGCTCCTGGCCCACCATGCTTATTTAAGTTTTTGACTTATCAGTTTTAGATATCTATTTGCTCCTTGTTGTGGTAGATGAGGATTTAGCTCGGGGATTTAGCTCATGATTTTTCTCCAAACTCACTGACTAGTTTACTTACCTGGTTTTTCTTAGTTCTTCCACTGGACGTTTCTGCAACTTTGGATGGCATCCTTAAAGCTTTATTTCTTGTTCTATAGACAGACTCATCTCTTGACTTTGGGTTTGTTATTTTTTTTTTTTTTCTGCAAGAGACGGGATCTTGCTCTGTTGCCAGGAGTACAGTGGTGCAATCACACAATCATAGTTCACTGCAACTTCAAACTCCTGGGCTCAAGCAATCCTCTTGCTCAGACTCTCGAGTAGCTGGGACTACAGGCATGCACCAACATACCTGGCTATTGATCTTGGCATTATTTAGATGAGTACATTAATGTTACCTGCTCCTGGATATGACATTCTCATTTTGACCTCTAGATACGTGACAGAGCCACAGAGATGAATAAAACGAGGACCTTACCATTAAGGAGCTTTAAGACTCTTAGGATTTAATATATTCATAGTTAGGTGTACAGTTTTGACAGAAAGTGTTAATTACCAAAAAGGAGACACGGAAAAGTGATGCAGTAGCTTAAAGGAAGAAATGATTACCTCTGAAAGGAGAGATCTAAGATGGTTTGATGAAGGATTTGTCATTTGAATTGAATGTAGACTATATAAAGGTATGTTTACTTTGAGAAAACTCTAAACTTAATTTTTACTCACCAAAAGCAAATACTAAAAGCACTTTCTGATAAAACTTTTTGTTTTTATAGGCCAGAAGGCTTTAGCTGATGCACAGATCCCTTATTCAGCAGTGGAGCAGGCATGTGTTGGCTACGTTTATGGTATGTCGTAAACTGTGTATTCCAAAAATCATTCATCTAAATCATGGAGCAGCTACATAGACAATGCAGAGGCATTTGTGAATTTTTTAAACCTCAAAACTAAGAATTAATTCAACTGCATTTGTGTTGGAGAAAAAAAATCCCTCAGAATTCAAAGTCTTATTGCCATTCATAGATTTCCCTGTGTGTCAGCCCAGTGTAATTTCTTTTTTGGCATTATTGTATTGCCAAAGCAGAAGATAAATTAAAAAACATTTTTCATTAAAAAAAAAAGGGAATTACCCATGCTTCTACCAGCTAAGGATAATAAGTCTTCAGAAGATAAATTTTTGCTTTGGGTTGTCTTAAAATTTCTATTTATTGGCTTTTTTATATCTAATAAAACTGTTTCATTAAGCATTTTTTCTTATTAGAGAAATAACATGCTAATTGGAAAAAAAGTGAACAACAGAAAAGCACAAGAAGAAACAAATCACCTCTAATTCCATTATTCAGAGATTATTTCCATTGATATTTTTTGGCATATATCTTTCAGTCAGCATGCATGTGATTATACATGCATGTGTGATTTTCTCTTAAAGAAAATAGGGTCTTAGTATACATAATTTTTTGTAATCTCCTTTTCTTGTTCTACTACATCAAACATTTCCTATGTCATTAAGGCTTCTTTTATACCATCATTAACATTTTTCCATTATGTTTACTACTTTTTTTTTTTTTTTTTTTTGAGACAGAGTCTTGCTTTGTTGCCCAGGCTAGAGTAGTGAGTGCCGTGGCATCAGCCTAGCTCATAGCAACCTCAAACTCCTGGGCTCAAGCAATCCTACTGCCTCAGCCTCCTGAGTAGCTGGGATTACAGGCATGGGCCACCATGCGTGGCTAATTTTTTCTATGTATATTAGTTGGCCAATTAATTTCTTTCTATTTATAGTAGAGACAGGGTCTCACTCTTGCTCAGACTGGTCTCGGCCTCCCAGAGTGCTAGGATTACAGGCGTGAGCCACCTCGCCCAGCTTGTTTACTACTTTTTTTAGAATAGATTAAATATTTACATGATTAAAAATACAAAAGATTATATACTGGTTATAATCATGTATAACATAGTAGTTTTTATAGTGGAAAGTATCACTCTTATTCCTGTCTACTTGTCTTGTAAGGTTCTCTTCCCTTAGGCAGTTTTCCCAATTTCTAGTATATATCCCCAGAGGTAATTTATGCACATGCAATTATGTGTGTGGGAATATATAATTTTTTCTTTCTCTTTGCTTTTGTTTCACACATGGAAGCATAGCATAAACATTATTTTGTATCTTGTTTTTTTTTTTTTTTTACCGTGTTTGCCTGAAAATAAGACAGGGTCTTATATTTATTTTTCCTCAAGAAGACACCTTAGGGCTTATTTTCAGGGGATGTGTTATTTTTTTTTTTAAGTACAGTATAACAATCTACACTTATTCAAATACAGTTAAGTCATCTTCTTCTGGAACATCATTGTAACTCTCCAAACCCCAAATTCCATCCTGAATTTCTTGTGACTCTATTTCCTTTAGAACCATTGGCCTCAGTCTCTCATGTCGAGCAATAGAGCTCTCACAGGACAGATGAGAAGGGGTGCTTGTCTTCTTTACCGCTCCGTGACGAAATGCATGGGTTGTGCAGATACACTGCGTAGCCACGCTCATCACTAGATCTTATTTTTGGGGTAGGGTTTATATTGTGCAAATGCTTAGAAATCCTGCTAGGGCTTAATTTATGGGTAGGTCTTATTTTCAGGGAAACACAGTAGTACTTCTTGGTGACCATTCCAAATCACAGCATAAACAGCTTCTGTGGTTTTTTTTTTTATGATAGCATAGTGTTCCATTGTGTATATATAATCATAGTTTGTTTAATCCATTCCCTTTTAATGGCTATTTAGGATTTTCTCATCTGTCCATGGCATTTATTTATTTATTTTTGAGACAGAGTCTCACTCTGCTGCCCTGGGCTAGAGTGCTGTGGCATCAGCATAGCTCATAGCAATCTCAAACTCCTGGGCTTAAGTGATCCTCCTGCCTCAGCCTCCCGAGTAGCTGGGACTACAGGCATGCACCACCATGCCCAGTTAATTTTTTTTCTATATATTTTTAGCTGGCCAATTAATTTCTTTCTATTTTTAGTAGAGACGGAGTTTCGCTCTTGCTCAGGCTGGTCTCGAACTCCTGACCTTGAGCAATCCTCCCGCCTCAGCCTCCCAGAGTGCTAGGATTACAGGTGTGAGCCACCGTGCCCAACCTGTTAATGACATTTAAAAAATATTTAATTGTCAAATAAAGAGTGAATATACTCAAGGTATGCAACATGATGATGATTTATATATACATTGTTTAAGGATTACCACAATCAAATTAATTAGCACATCCATTAACACTAATGCTGTTCTATTAATAGATCCTTAGAACTTGTTCATCTTATAACTGAAAGTTTGTAGCCTTTGACTAACATCTCTCCATTTCCTCCACTCCCTACAGCATTTTTAATGATTATATGGTATTCTAATCTTGGGGATCTCCTATAGCTTATTTAGTGGTAGTAGTAATGATATCCTGTTCTTTGGCATTTATGTTATTTCTAATTTTTAATTATTATAAAAATACTATAAATATTATATAACATAAAAAATACTATAGTATTAATATAGATGAATCTTTTTTTTTTTTTTTTTTTGAGACAGAGTCTCACTTTGTTGCCCGGGCTACAGTGAGTGCCATGGCGTCAGCCTAGCTCACAGCAACCTCAAACTCCTGGGCTCAAGCAATCCTGCTGCCTCAGCCTCCCAAGTAGCTGGGACTACAGGCATCTGCCACCATGCCCGGCTAGTTTTTTCTATATATATTAGTTGGCCAATTAATTTCTTTCTATTTATAGTAGAGACAGGGTCTCACTCTTGCTCAGGCTGGTTTTGAACTCCTGACCTCGAGCAATCCGCCCACCTTGGCCTCCCAGAGTGCTAGGATTATAGGCGTGAGCCACTGCGCCCGGCCAGATGAATCTTTGTGTGTATCTATGATTTATTTTCTTGAGATCTCAATATCAAGATAATTCTGGAAGGGAAACTTACTGGGTCAGAGGAATGCAAATGTATTCATTGACAAGGCTATCCTAAACCTTACTGATTTTGCTGAAGACTCCTGGAGAGTTAGTTTGTTCCTTCAGATATTCCTATCATACTGCTCCAGCATGTCAGTCCTGGTGGTAATGTTACTTTGGAGAAGTCATGTGTGTACTTAACATGGATCACATTTTTCTGGAATTCCCTGGCACCCAGGATCTTCTAAACTTTTTTTTCTTTTTAAAAAAATGTTTTGTATAGACAAAGTCTTGCTGTGTTGCCCAGGTTTGTCTCAAACTCCTGGCCTCAAACAATCCTCCCACCTCAGCCTCCCAGAGAGCTAGGATCACAGGCATGATCCATCGCACCTGGCTTATTTTAAACTTCTTGAAGTTGTGGAATCTATATGAAGAGTAAATCTTGACCTTTAATAAATTGGTATAATAGTTTTAAAGATTTATATCTGGCTGGGTGAGTTGGCTCATGCCTATAAGTTTAGCATTTTCAGAGTCCAAGGCAGGAGCATCACTTGAGTCCAGTTTGAGACCAGCCTGACCAACATAGCAAGAACCCTTCTTTACAAAAAACAGAAAAATTATCGCAGCATTGTGGTGTGTGCCTATAGTCCCAGCTTCTTGGAAAGCCGAGGCACGAGAGGATGGCTTGAGTCCAGGAGTTTGAGGCTTTAGTGAGCTTTGATAATGACATTGTACTCTAGCCCAGGCCACAGAGTGAGACCCTGTCTCAAAAAAAACACAAAAAACAAAAAAACAAAAACGAAAAAGATGTATATCTGACAGTAATGAAATATTGCTTCTTTTATTGTGTAGCCTTAGCCAGATTGAATTGTTTGCTAGTATCTGTTCATTTGTCTACTTCCCTACCTCTGTATTATGTAAAGAAAGTACACATATATTCTTTGTTTTGAGAATCTTTTTTTTCTTTTGAGATGGGGTCTCACTCACTCTTCTGTTACCCAAGTTAGAGTGCAGTAATGTCGTCATAGTTCACTGCAACCTCCAACTCCTAGGCTGAAGCCACTACAGGCACGTGCCACCTTGCCCAGCTAATTTTTGTATTTTTTATAGAGTGGGTGTCTCGCTCTTGCTCTGGCTGGTCTCAAACTCCTGGTCTCAAGCAATCCTCCTGCCTTGGCCTCCCAAAGTGTTAGGATTATAGATGTGAGGCATCATGCCCGGCTGAGAATTTTTTTTTTTCAGAAAGAGTCTTGCTCTGTTGCCCGGGCTAGAGCGCCATGGTGTCAGTTTAGCTCACGGCAACCTCAAACTTCTGGGCTCAAGCAATCCTCCTGCCTCAGCCTCCCAAGTAGCTTGGACTACAGGCATGCGTCACCATGCTGGGCTATTTTTTCTGTATATTTTTAGTTGTCCAGCTAATTTCTTTCTATTTTTAGTAGAGATGTGGTCTCGTTCTTGCTCAGGCTGGTCTCGAATTCCTGACCTTGAGTGGTCCTCCTGCCTTGGCCTCCCAGAGTGCTAGAATTACAGGCGTGACCCACCACGCTGGTCCAATTTACTTTTATATTTGCAAAGTAAATGTTTGTTAATGCTAAAAATGTTTCTGAGTAAGATGTTAGTGTGTGTATTGTCCTTCACATGTCGTATGCTAGACCATAGGCATAATAATACTGAAAAGAAAGATCTTGTAGTATTATGTTGCATTGCAGCTCTGTAATTCCCGTGTTGTAGGTGCTAAAGTTATTGCTTGTTTTCCTATTCAGGTGACTCTACCTGTGGGCAGAGGGCTATTTATCACAGTTTGGGACTGACTGGAATTCCTATTGTCAATGTCAACAATAATTGTTCTACTGGTTCTACTGCTTTGTTTATGGCCCGGCAGCTGATTCAGGGTGGTGAGTAGTGCTTGTCTAGTGTACTTAAATAAATGTGGGATTATTGGCCCCTTTTAATCATTTATCCGCATGGCCATTAGAGGAATTGCCTTATTTTGTATTTCTTTAAAAACAGTCTTTATTTTTAAAATATTAATTAATTCATTAATTAATTTTTTAGAGACAGGGTCTTGCATTGTTGCTCAGGCTGGAGTGCAGTGGCACGACTATAGCTTACTGCAGCCTTGAACTCTTGCGCTCAAGGGATCCTCCTGCCTCAGGCACCCAAGTAGTTGGGGTTATATGCATAAAAGCTTTATTGAGATATAATTCATATACCATAAAATGCACCCTTTTAAAGTATATAGTTACACTGTTTTTTTTCTTGTTTTTTTTAATTTAAATGCAAGTTTTTTAGTAGCTCTAGTACACTGTTTTTTAGTATATTCATAGAGTTGTGTGTCTATCACCACTATCTAATTTTTTTTTTTTTTATTATTTTTTTTTTTTGAGACAGAGTCTCGCTTTGTTGCACAGGCTAGAGTGAGTGCCGTGGCGTCAGCCTAGCTCACAGCAACCTCAAACTCCTGGGCTCAAGCGATCCTTCTGCCTCAGCCTCCCGAGTAGCTGGGACTACAGGCATGCACCACCACGCCCGGCTAATTTTATATATATATATTAGTTGGCCAATTAATTTCTTTCTATTTATAGTAGAGACGGGGTCTCACTCTTGCTCAGGCTGGTTTCGAACTCCTGACCTCGAGCAATCCGCCCGCCTCGGCCTCCCAGAGTGCTAGGATTACAGGCTTGAGCCACCGCGCCCGGCCTGATCTACTTTTTCTGTTTGTAGATTTTCCTATTCTGAACATTTACAGAAATGGAATCATACAGTACGCGGGTTTTTTTTTTTTTTTGAGATGGAGTCTCTTTCTGTTGCCCGAGCTAGAGTGCCATGGTATCAGCCTACCTCACAGCAACCTCAAACTCCTGGGCTTATGCGAGCCTTCTGCCTCAGCCTCCCAAGCATCTAGGATTACAGGCATGTGCCACCATGCCTGGCTAATTTTTTCTATATATATTTTTAGTTGTCCAGATAATTTCTTTCTATTTTTAGTAGAGATGGGGTCTCACTCTTGCTCAGGCTGGTCTTGAACTCCTGAGCTCAAGTGATCCTCCTGCCTTGGCCTCCTAGAGTGCTAGATTACAGGCATGAGACACCACGACAAGCCAATACATGCTTTTTTGTAGTCTCTTTCGCTTAGTATAATGTTTTCACAGTTTATTCATGTTTTAGCAAGTACTTCATTCATTTTTATGGTCAAATAATATTCCATTGTATGCATATACCACATTTTTTCTATCTATTCATTAGCTGATGGATATCGATGTTTCCATCAGTTGATGAGTTGTGTCCATTTTTTGGCTGTTATGAAAAATGCTGCTATAGCCTTGAGTGGATAACTCAAGGCCAGGAGTTACTCAGCCTGAGCAAGAGTAAGATCCCGTCTCTAGTAAAAATAGAAGCAAATTAATTGGCCAACTGAATATATAGAAAAAATTGGCCAGGCATGGTGGCACATGCCTGTAGTCCCAGCTACTTGGGAGGCTGAGGCAGGAGGATCGCTTGAGCCCAGGAGTTTGAGGTTGCTGTGAGCTAGGCTGATGCCACGGCACTCTAGCCAGGGCAACAGAGTGAGACTCTGTCTCCCAAAAAAAAAAAAAAAAAAAGCTGCTATAAACATTTGTGTACAGTTTTTTTTGTGGCTGTATATTTTCAATTCTTTTGGATATACATCAATTCTTATATTTTCATGTATTCTAAGATCTTTTATTAGGCCCTCTGTTCCTACCCAGTGTTTCAATTACTGGAGCTTTATAATGTCTTAGTGTTTAATAATGCCAGTGCCTCCTATTCCTGTTACCTTGCTATTTTTCTTTATTATTTTTAGAAAACTTTGACAATTGTGTCATGTTTTGCTGTTCCGTTGAACTTCAACATCATTTATAGGTGCCCTCTCCCTCTAAAAACAATTCTATTGAAAATTTGATTGAGATCCTTTTTTTTTTTGAGACAGAGTCTGGTTCTGTTCCCTGGGCTAGAGTGCTGTGGTGTCAGCCTAGCTCACAGCAACTGCAAACTCCTGGGCTCAATCAACCCTTCTGCCTCAGCCTCCCTAGTAGTTGGGACTACAGGCATGTGCCACCATGCTTGGCTAATTAATTTCTATATATACTTTTAGTTGTCCAGATAATTTCTTTCTATTTTTAGTAGAGACGGGATCTTGCTGTTGCTCAGGCTGGTCTCAAACTCCTGACCTTGAGCGAACTCCTGACTTTGAGCAATCCTGCCTCAGCTTCCCAGAGTGCTAGGATTACAGGCATGAGCCACCACGCCCAGCCAGGATCCTGTTCAATTTAAATTTTAAAATGTTTTCAAATTCTGAATTAACTTTTTGTATTTGTTCTTTACTGACACATATTTCCACATTAATCAAAAATTTTTTAACATGTGACTCAAGGGAAGAATTAAGCACCTTTTTTATTTTTCCTCTTATCTAGAAGTATGTGAGAATTTTCTCTGTAATTTTTCCATTTAAAAAATTTTTGTAGAGTTATAGTATGTTTTTGCCTTTTATGTACTTATTTATTAATTATTATTATTATTTTTCACCTACATCCAATCAGCAGTATTTTATTATTTTATTTTGGCATATTATGGGGGTACAGATTTTAAGGTTTCAATAAATGCTCTCCCCCCTACGTAGTTATTTAAATTGAAGTATTTAATGCTATTTTCTTGGATGTTTGGAAATTTGAATTTTCAAAATAATTACATTTTCCTTTAAGGTATAGCAGACTGTGTCTTGGCTCTTGGGTTTGAGAAGATGGAGAAGGGAAGCCTTGGAGTGAATGTGAGTCTCATGTATTGTTATTTTGGAGTTGTCATAAAACTATGAGAAAATAAGCAACATGAAACATAATTTGGTACATGTGGTATTTCAGGTACAGTAAATTTGTATAAAAATTTATATATAATAAAAGAAGAAAAAAAACCATAATTTGGCATACTTATTAAATGAGCTGAAATAACCCAAAAGCTGAAAGGTGATACTGTATATATGTATAGATCTTGGTATTTTAGAACAGTAAGTAAAGAATCTTAGAGATAATATAGTTCAGAGTCTTTATTTTACCAATGATGAAACTGGTGTTCAAAAACTCAAATAATTGAGTTTGAGATTGACTTATCTATTTAATTTGAAAGGCATTTGTTCATTCCTTCAATAAATTAATTTCATTCAACAAATGAAATCCATCCAACAAATTGAAGAGAGTTAATAAAGTATGGGACTTCTGATACTGTTAATGGCAAACCATGTTATTTGAGCCAGTTTTCCCACTGATGATAACTAAAATATTTGGATAGAATATGAAAAAAATATCCTAAAGGCATTGAGGAACTATCAAGAGAGAGGAATTGCAGGTGAATACCAGAGAATTAACATGAGCATTTATAGCTGCTTTTCCATTGAAGACTTTTGCTGAACTGGAAACTGTGAGCTGCAATTTTGATGGCCCCCTGGAATGAAGGGGAAATTGGTCTAAGCTCAGGCATTCCTATGATCAGAAGTTTAATACCTACTGCCCACATTAAATAGAGAGTCCATAGGCATAAACCCTTCTTTTGGGTTAAGAATGAAACTGAAGTAAAACTGCCCACTCCTATGAGATGACAGGGAGAGTTGACTTGGTGCTGAGTAGAACAGGGTAGAACAAAAGAGAAAGGAAAAATAAAACAGCACAGAAAAGCCTTTCTGTGAGAGTTAGTAGACCACAGGTTAGCCCTCATACAAGATTGCTGCCAACATTCTCATTAGCTGGTTGGTCCAAGAAACCTAAAGTGTGAATTGAATCTGAATTTTTTCAAAATGGTAGTAACCTAGGCAAATTTTCTTTTGGAGGAAAGCACCTTCTAGACTTCTAGGCTTTGAAAACCTTTCGAGTAAATTTTCAAGGATACTCAGTCAAAGATAATCAAGTATTAAAGAAACAAGTCACCGTAATTGAGAACCAAAAGAAAGAAGGACAGTAAAAAGTGATCTTTGAAGACCACAGATACTGGATTTATTAGACACAATTTAACCATAGTTACTATGTTTAAAGAAATAAAAGCTTCCAAATCTCTTTAGGCTATAGAGGAAACTGCAAAAGGGGACATTATAGGCATGGGGAAGAAAAAAACCCCATAACCCCCAAAAGAATTTATAGAAAAGAAAAATGGAAGAAATAAAATTAAAAATTCAAAGATAGATTTGATAGCAGATTGTGTATGACTGAAAAGAGAATTTAGTGAAACTGGAGGAGATTAGAAGTAATTATTTAAAATATACCATAAAGAAAAAAACAGATGGAAAATTGGCAGGAAATTAAGATATATGGAGGATAGCATGGTAAGGAATAATATATATTTAATTAAAATTAATGGAGACAAAGTGGTGAGAAAGAAAATAGAACATAGGCATTATTTGAAGAGATAATGCTACTAATTTTTTTTTTTTTGAGACAGAGTCTTGCTCTGTTGCCCAGGCAAGAGTGTCGTGGCATCAGCCTAGCTCACAGCAACCTCAAACTCCTGGGCTCAAGTGATCCTCCTGCCTCAGCCTCCTGAGTGACTGGGACTACAGGTGTGCACCACCATGCCTGGCTAATTTTTTCTATTTTTAGTTGCCTGGCTAATTTCCTGACCTCAAGTGATGGTCCCACCTCAGCCTCCCAGAATGCCAAGATTACAGGTGTGAGCCACCACGCCCGGCCTCTACTAATTTTCTTTTTTTTTTTTTTTTTTGAGACAGAGTCTCACTCTGTTGTCTGGGCTAGAGTGCTATGGCGTCAGCCTAGCTCACAGCAACCTCAAACTTCTGGGCTCAAGTGATCCTCTTGCCTCAGCCTCCTGGATAGCTGGGACTACAAGCACTTGCCACCATGTCCGGCTAATTTTTTCTGTTTTTTAGTTGTCTAGCTAATTTCTTTCTATTTTTAGTAGAGACAGGGTCTCACTCTTGCTCAGACTGGTCTCAAACTCCTGAGCTGAAGCAATCCTCCTGCCTTGGGTTCCCAGAGTGCTAGGATTACAGGCGTGAGCCGCCTTGCCTGGCCTCTACTAATTTTCTTGAACTTAATAAAAGGCACTAATCCCTAGATTGAAGAATTCCAGGCTGTGCATGGTAGTCAACATTTTTGTACTTACTCAAGCTATTATTTCTGTAGGATAGGTTCTTAGGCTTAGATGAGCAAGGAGGTGGCCCTAAAGAGATTTTTACAGGTTAAGTGAATCCATGAAGCCTAGAGTGAAGTAACTACCCAGGGACATAGTAACCAGTTAGTTGTTAGCAATACAGACTGGATTAGCTCTTCTAATCCAAATATAAACTTTGTGTTTTCCCCAGTGAACTCATCATTTTCTCCTATCTCTTCTACTGGTTCTTCTCCTCTCTCCCCTTCTCTTTTTTTTTAACCCTTTGTACTTGTATGTCGAGTGTGACTTGACACGGTTAGGAAAAATTATAGAGATTAAATTTACTCTTTGAATGTATCAATAATTTGAAATATAAAAAAATCCAAATAAAGAAGTTTGTATGAAAAGAAACTCCAGTTTTTTATTCTACTGCTGTGCTTTGTAAAATCTAGGGTATTTAAAAAAATTAAATCCCTAGTAGAAAAAAGGAATCGAGAAAAAAGCAAGTGAGTGCAAAGGGTAAAACATCTATTTATGTTTTTATTTTTTGTAGTCACAGGGTCTTGCTGTGTTGCTCAGTCTGGTCTTAAACTCATGGCCTCAAGTGATCCTCCCACCTCAAGCCTCCCAAAGCATTGAGATTAGTTAGGTGTGAGCCACTATGCCAGGCCTCTTCTTTTATACTTGGTGTTTTCCTCTTTTTATCTCTAGCTGATATGACCTCCTTTTTTTTCTTTTTTTGACCTTTCACCAGCCTCTTACTCCCATCTACATCTTGCATTTCTATTTTTTTCCTTTCTTTCTTCACCCTGTATTCATTCCTTAACTTACAGCAATTTGTAACTGAATTTGTTGAATAAGAATTTTTTTTTTTTGGAGACAAGGCCTTGCTGTGTTTCCCAGGCTGCTCTCAAACTGCTGGGCTAAAGCGATCTTCCCATCTCAGACTCCCAAGTAGTTGGGACTACAGGTGCACACCACTGCGCCTGGCTTGCTAAGATTTTGTATTTCTGATCTTTAATTTAAAAGTCAGGGCGCTGTGGCCTGTTGGGCGGCCTCACAGAGCCACCATAGCCACCCACCTCCCCCGACACAACGTCTCCGCTGGTGCAGTGGAAGATGGTGAGGACCCCTGCCTCCTGGCCTCTCACTCACGGTGGGTGGAGAAGGGGGTGGGGTGGGGTAGGGTGGCAAAATGTTCCCTGTGGAGAATGCGGTGGCCATGTAGAGCTGGAACATGGAGTGTGATACATGCTCCCTTTTCAGGGTGCAGGTGATGGATGCCTGTCTTAGTTGTCCAGATAATTTCTTTCTATTTTTAGTAGAGATGGGGTCTTGCTCTTGTTCAGGCTGGTCTTGAACTCCTGACCTTGAGCGATCCACCCAGTTTGGCCTCCTAGAGTGCGAGGATTACAGACACGAGCCACCACGCCGGGCTGGATGCCTGTCTTAGATGTCAAGATGAAAACCAACAAGGGGGTTGTGTTGTGGTCTGGGGAGAGTGTAATCATTCCTTCCACAACTGCTGCATGTTTCTGTGGGTGAAGCAGAACGGTTACTGCCCTCTCTGCCAGCAGGACTGGGTGATCCGAACAATCGGCAAATGAGAGTGGTAGAGGCTTTCTTAGTGCAGTTGTTCGAAGCCCTGGTGGATCTTGTTATCAAATGCCCTACAAAAGCTGGAGCACTCCACGGGATCAATTCTCCAGACAAGGAGCTAATGGATCTGTGGTCCTTTGGGACTCATCAAAGACATGGTTTAGCATTTTGTCAGTTTTATTTTCAGAAATTCTCCACAATTAAGAAGATAATTTATTAAAGGTAGTCTTTTCTACCTCTGTGGTGTGTGTCACATATACACCTTAGAAGTGCTATAAAAAAGGAGAAAACTCCAAATTGAATGACCTTTATAATTTCCCTATTGATATTTGAGTTGTGGCAATAGTTCCATTCAGAGGAGAATACCTTGAATGCTTATCAGTTTAAAAACAGAATATGTTATAGTGACATATAAAAGTGCAGTTTAAACTCTCCCTCAAATAAATAAAAATCAGGTGACTGAATAATCTATTTGAATGTAGCAGAAATAGCTTGCTGTTTCTGTTTATGGCCCCTAGATGGATCTCTAGCAGAGGACTCAACCTCCCACGCCTGCTTTGCTAAGTTCTGTTCTCTGCATTTGTCCTGTGTATTTCCCTTAAGATCATGTAGCATAACTTTTCTGTTTTTATGGGTATGCTGCAAACAGAAGTAATAATTTCTTCTTAAATAAGGGAGAGTTATTACATTGAACTAAAAAGAATACTTGTTATACTGGGAATGCTGTTCACAACAAACAAATATACATGGTTATTGAGCCCTTAAAATGTGGTTAGTACAACTGAAGAACTGAATTTTTTATGCTATTTAATTAGTTTAAAGTTAAACTAATAGTTCAGTTACTGGAAAACTTTTAAGTATGTTTAGAATAACTTGGGCATGTGAGTCGACTTTGACAACTGCAGATTTCATGAAATCAAAATATATTTTAAGTATTTCTCATGAAAATTTAGCATCCAAGTTGAGATGTGTTGTAAGTATTAAATATACACTGGGTTTTAAAGACTTAGTGTGAGGCTGGGCACTGTGGCTCATGCTTGTAATCCTAGCATTCTGGGAGACCGAGGTGGGCGGGGG